CTCAAGTGCGCCCCCTAGATTATTCAAACTGGTTTATCTCAATGATATATTATCCAATCTGCACCAGAATTTTGGTGCGTGATCAGTGTACATTTCTATATACATTTGTTTTGTTATTTAACATTTGACCTGAGTGCGCCCCCTAGATTATTCCAAAAGTTATATCTCAGTGATATATCATCAGATCTGAACCAGATTTTGGGTGTGTCATTAGTGAACACTTCTAGACACATTGGTATTTTTTTTACTTTTGACTCTAGTGCACCCCCTACATTATTCCAACAGTTATATCTCAGTGATACATCATCCGATCGGAAACAGATTTTTTTATGCATAATCAGTGAGCACGTCTAGACACATTGATATTGTGGTTTAACATATGACTAAAGTGTGCTCCCTAGATTATTCCAACAGTTATATCTCAGTGAAATATCATCCAATATGTACCAGATTTTATGTGCGTGATCAGTGAGCACTTATAGACACATTGATATTGTTCTTTAACATTTGACTCAAGTGCACCCCCTAGATTATTCCAAGAGTTATATCTCAGTGATACATCATCCAATCTGAACCTGAGGTTTTGTGCTTCATCAGTGAGCACTTGTAGACACATTGGTATTGTTGATTCATGACATCACTTAAGCCCCACCTACTCAGAGAAAAAACTGTCAATTATTGGATGACACTTCCAGCTTGGCACTGTGTAAGATATTAGACTGAAACTTTGTTCGCTAACTGTTTATTACCACACATGACGTTGAAAAGCATGAAGGAAGTGCTGGTCAAACATTCGTCACAAAACAGGAAGTCAGCATAACTCCTGACTGGAAGGTCAGATTTCGCCTATATTTGTAAGGCCTGCAGCTGGAAAAGTAACAAGATGGACGGAAGGTGATGTCGAAGATTCGGGAAATGCGCCTTGTGGTGAACGCATGCGAGATTGGCATGAGAGCATTTGTGATGGCGACTGGGTAGACTAGCTGGAGCTCCCCCGGTCACCGTATTTTTTTTTCAAACCCAGAAAAGAAATTCACTTAAGAGGAGAAATTTTGTTTTATTCCTTTATATCCTAAATATATTTGACTGTTTTATAACATTTGGTGTGGTGTAATATGTACAATTTGTTTATTTAAGAAAAAAAAATCCAAAAAAGGAGTGCAATGAAGGGATATTTTTTATTTAATCATCATATTTTTTTAACACAATGTTTGAGTGATCATTTTGCACACTTTGTTTAAGGAATAAAATCCAGCCATCACAAGGTATGGGTGAAATTGTTTTGTTACTGTTCTATTTTTTTCAGAAAAAAAAACTTTTATTATAATAAAGTATTTTTTATTTACTTATAAACTTTGCTTAATTCTATCCTGGGTTTTAACTAATAATTGATCCAACGGAAAAATCACAAAGACTTCAACGTCATCAAAATTCACTGTAATTATTTAAAAGTATCGTATTGGTATCAGTATCAGTGATACTGGACCTATATTTACTTGGTATCCATCGATACCAAATTTTGTACCATACCATACCATACCAATTTATTTATATAGCACTTAAAACAGCAACAAGCCAACCAAAGTGCTGTACAAAAGAACACAAACATGCACAGCAGACAGGAAAACATAAAATAGAAATACAGATACAAATAGCAGCAGGAGCTAACTAAAATGGCCAACAGAGTTGAGAACAGACCGGACCAAAACAAATCACACCGTGTTAAAGGCAAGCGAATAGAAGTGGGTCTTCAAGCGAGACTTAAAGACTGAGAGTGTGGGAGCCTGCCGGACACTCAGTGGCAACTCATTCCACAGTCGTGGACCTGCAACAGAGAAAGCCCTGTCACCTCTGAGCTTACGACGGGTTTCTGGGACTGAGAGAAGCATCTGGTCAGCTGACCTCAGAGAGCGCGGTGGGACATATGGCTGCAGAAGATCAGTGAGATAGGATGGGGCGGAACTGTTCAGTGATTTA